TGGCCACGTGGTTTCACCATCTCATCTGCACTGGGCATAGTGCTTGTCTCTTCCCTGATTTCACTCATTTGGAGGAACAAATGGTGTTCTGCCTATTGGACAGGCTTGCCATGTGCTTGGGTGAGCACAGGAGCTGCTGTGCAGGGACACACACCTCTGGGAGAGGGAGCAAAGAGGGTGCTGGACAGCAGGGAACCAAACTAGGGACAGGAGAGCAGGATGGCATTTCAGGTGGCAGTGAGCAGCCACTTGGGCTCAGCTCTGTGCCCTGAGGTGCTGTGAAGAACAGCAGGGGAGAAGGACATTGAATCAAAGGTCTGTGTTGTTGCTGATGATGTTCAACAAGGTATGAGTGGGCTTGTTGAGTGTACCAGAGGTGATGCTGTGGAAAAGGCTGGGGGTTTCTCTGCTGGTTTTGCCAGTTTCTGGCTTGGTTGCTTGATCAAAACACAAGAGTTGATCTAAACACCTGACAACATCATGGATGCAACCAGCATCTCTGTCTGAAGGCCTTCCTGGTAACACAGGTATCTGCTGTGGGCATTGCCTGTGTGATTGGGTGTGTTACAGTCAGCAGCAAGTTCCATGTGACATGGGATCCCAGCCCTGGCCTTTTCTTCCTGAGCTGTACCAAAACTGGTGCTCTTAAAACCAAGACATTTTGTGTTTATTTTTCTTCCCTCCTTCATCTGGAAACCAGTTTAGGAAATAGTTCTTCAGGCACAGGTTGGGCAGTCATGGAAGTCTTACAGATTTGTGTCATTGTAACTAGTGCTGTGGCTGGAATTGGCATGAATGAATAATGAACATGACAAAATCCTCTCTCCTGGGGTGTGACAGCCCTCCAGCAGATCCTCAATTACAGCAGTGCTGTTACTGAAGAACCAGCCTTTGGAAAGAATCAGTTAGCAGGCCATAAATTGTGCAGCACATTACCTGGTGTAGTGAGAAACCTCTTAATGAGCTCAGTTGTCAAAACCAACTTAGTAGGAGCCTTGCCTGAGCTTAATTTTCATCACAGCAGCAAAACTTCTCTCCCAAGGGTAGGGGGAAGAGTGGCTGTTGTGGGAGAGAGGAGGCACCCAGGAGAGAACTTTCCAAATTAGAAAAAATTAATTCAGAATTAAAAGTACTTTGAAACTCAATGCAATGAGTTTAATTGTCTTAATTTTGCAGGTTATTAATCTACAGCCCTGCTGAGGTGCTATGGTAACAGATGCAGCTGCTGGTTGAGATTGCAGGGGGGTGAAAAGTGATTCTCTGGTTTGGGATTTGTGATACAGTTTTTGTGAACTTCTTTTTACATCTTCATCCTCAGCGTACTGAAAAAGTGCAGCAGATTTATTTAAGCCAGTGTTAACTTCTGAGCTTGGAGACATCAGGAAATCAAACCAGTAAAAAGATCCACAGAATTAAACTGGATTTTGGGGAATGCATTATTAGGGGCAGCCTACAGCAAACTGCCCTCTGCATTTCTTTTACAAATATGTTTGCTCGAACCAGCGTGGGGATTAAAAGAGGTTTATAAATCTGCAGCATAACATTTACACAGCCTTCTGCAAAGCCTTCACTTTCCAGAGAAAAAGGTATTGGATGACAGTGTTTCTCAGCTTAAATTCATGGGAGCAATTGTGATTCTTCCTTTGTCTGGTAAAAAATAACAGACTTAAGGAGCAGCACAGTGCTTGGAGACACTGGAGGCTGTGCAGTGCAGAAGCAGTCATTCAGCCGGAGCAA